AAGACAAAAACGTTAATAAAATAGGATGCCTATATTGCACAAATTGCAAGTCATCGACGATACGGGGCAGTATCCTGAACCCAGTCCCTGGGACCTGACTAGTTGACTACCACCCGACCCATATCACGACTACAAAAACACCCCACACACTCTGCCGGAGGTGCGGCCTACATTTTTTGGTCGCGAGCCTCGCTAATGCCCATCGATGAATGGCGGTACGTGCCAGCGTGCCATGTCGGATCATCCCGTCTGCGCTTCCTCAACAGGAGGTGTTTACAGGGAGAAAAAGTGCGAGTGGAGCTAACAAAGGTTTGGAAGTGTTGAAGGCTTGAAAGCACGCACATAGTGAAAGGAAGAGTGATGGTGAGTGCTGGATGGTAAGGGGAGTATGGTCTGATTTGTTTGTTTTGATTCGCTTGTGATTTTCAGCTGTGCAGATTAGGTATTGTTTTGTCGTGTCGTGTATGGGTTTGGTAAGAAAATAAATGTGTTTACTTGCAAGCACAATGACATTGCTGTGCAAAGCAATGATGCATTGGCATTAACAAAACTACACCACCTAGCTACCTCCTAGTTATGATTCCACCTTCCACATAGCATCTTCATCTCCCGTTCGTCGCAGCTCCAAAACGCCACCCGGAGGCGAAAGTGCGCAGCGAAAGCCGCCATCAGTGAGCTCGATTCTTCCCGTGCGCGTGCACCGCGTGTGGATGTCGGGACTGAAGGTGGCGTTTTTGCGTCGGACGACCCGGCAGAGGTGGCCCGAGACTGGCCGATGGGACACTGAGCGTGCCGAGAGAGAGGAAACGGGGACGGTAGAGGTCGGAGAGGGAGAGGGAGAGAGGTAGATAGAGGTCGAGGGTAAACAAGGAGATGTTAGAAAGAATTGGGAGTCTTCGAAAGGGTACAGAAATGTTGAGAGAAGTTGGGGGATTGGAAAAACGAAATCGGTCGAAAAGTGCTCAGATAACCAATGATGCCAGGATGAGCAGAATATTGGAAAACAGAACACAAGAAAATTGAAAAATGAAGACATGTAAAAATGGTTTGGACACCAGACAGTAGATTTTGCTTATATACTTTATCAAATAAATGCGGTCGAACAGACAGCAAAGCAAACGCAAGTGTGTCTAAATAACCTTGCCGGAACATATGTTCTGTCATAAAAGTCATAGATAAAGTGGAGATACCACAACGCTGCGCTTCACTGTTGTAGGATCTAACTCGGACACCACACACTATTCCGAGCGCCGTCCAAGCTCGTATGCGTGCGGAGCCGTGACTTTTGGTCACACTTTTGGGCGCCGTAAGAAGCTCTAAACCGTTGGATTGCTCGCGCATTTAGACCGTACTTTCACTACTTTACGGACCAGTTCAGTCGTTTTGTCTCCGAGCGTCGCATGTCTGGTTGCGTGCGTCCGTGCGCATGGGAAGGAGGAGGGGGGTTGGGGTGTCATAAAGGCTAGGTGAAGTGTCATGGAAGACGGACTGAGTGTCATAGAGGACGGTTGAGGTGTCGCTAAGGCCACCTCAGGTGTCAAACGGTGACTGAAGGCTGATTGAGGCGTTTATGAAGAACGCTTACAGTTAAAATCGTTTAGAAAAAAAAGATAGCTGCGCCTGCTTTTGTTATTCTATCTGTATCCTGCACGACATAAGTTTGTTTAGGTAGTAGTGGCCAAGGCATTCCAAGAATGCCGATAAAAGTGAAAAGGATTGAATAATGAGTTCTGACTACTATAAGCTTCCTCTCTCATAAGTTCCCCAGCTACACTTTATAACACGTCAATCACCAACCCTCGCTAACCTCGTGCCAACAAACGCTCGTCCCTAATTAGCCCGTTTCACCTTCCCCGTATTTAACCCTTCGCGTCTAATTACGATGATGAGCGCTGTCTTGTTGAATAGACGCCTCACGGTTACCCAAGTGAGTCCAGTTGGTTCCGTTCCGATCTCAAGGCGTCCCCGTTTTACCGTCATCGTTCATCCTACAGACACACTGCCTCTGGCTCTCTCGTGGACAGCAAAAAACGCCGTCTAAAAACGTGCGGTTTTGAGCTAATGGTCCCCGGCGGCCACCACTACCACCGCCGCTGCTGCCATCGCTGTGCCATCGCTGTGCCATCGCTGTTCCATTGGTGGAGACAGGTGGTAACGATGAGGCCATCGCTGCCGCCACCGATGGTAACGATGGAATCGGTGATGCGACTTTATGTGAGCGCTATATTGGAAGATGAGCAGTGAACATTGCGGGTCACTTGTTTGTGTTTGTGGGTCAAATAGTTATTGGGCTATTAGTGGTCATGTAACTTTGTCGATCGCTATGAATTGTGTTAAAAAGTATAGTTGCTCTTATGGGCGTTTCTTTTTCCTTTCCTCCTATTTTGACTTGTAAATGCGCAAGCATTCAGCCTCACTTGACCTAAAGTGGCGCTAAGAACTAAATCGACGGAAGGTAGGTAAGCGTTACTTTAGGAAAATTGACTATTTCTACAATAGAGATAGCAAAACACGAGACTAGACAGCGGCTAATTTGTCCACTGACTGGCGCTCATGAGCTAAGCCCGTATCGTTGACACGGAAGTGCTCTGGAGAGACAGACCATCCAGCCGCTCAATGGGTCCCGGCCACCCCGAGGAAGGGGGGGAGGGCTGGTGGAACGACCGTCACTTCGAGTCAAGGAAGAATTATCAACGATTGTGATTGGCTGGCTTCGGGGATGGAGCAGGCACATGCATCCACTTTCAGCAGTCCCCAGGACATGTCTTGTGTCCGCTGTCCGTTGTCCAGCCCGCAAGAGGGCGCCACACAGTCGCTGTCCACTAGCGACCGTGGCGCCACACTCGGTAGGAATCGGAACTAACTACATTGTCCCGTCTGCATCACGAAGCCGTGTCAGTCCAAGCAAGACAGCTTGCTTCTGTGTGAGTTGTGATGGCATGGCTCGCGGATTACAGTAAGTCACATCCGTCTTTTGTATCCTCAGGACCACCCCATCGTGACACAATTCCGAACTGGAGGGCAGCCCAACACACAACCGGAGCATATGAAGGAGCAGATCAATCCCTTCTAGGTGACCGTTTGAGCGGCCGGGGGGGGAGGTCTGTCCCGATGGGACACTCCTCTGCTGATGAGATAGCCTCAGCCGATAGGACTCACCAAGTGGTGGTCAAATGAAATAATGAAATGTCAAATATCAAATCGGTATTTGGTTTCATATTGTTATACAGTAAAAGTGTATACCTTATCACCGTAACTTGCCTGATACCTATGTAAAGCAAAAGAGTCACACACATGATAGCAAAACGATATATGTGCAAATAAGCAAAAATATGTTATAGGTGAGGTAATTAAGCTCAATTTTCGAACTTTCACATTTCATGCACATAAAAAACGCTGCATATTTCCATCACTCCTATGCAGGCAGTTTATTTCCCACCAGGTCCAGCACTGAGCCCAAGGCCAGTCAGACAATTTGTTAGCGACAAACCAAAGGGTTGGAGTTACCCTGCCCAGCACGAATTTAGTGTAACCTTTCCTCCTAATTACTCCAAATCCCGGAAGACCGTCAAAAGGATACGAGGCGCCCCGCCAGGCGCCTGGCGCGAAGGGGTCCGGCGACAGGCTTATCAGTAAACGACGCTCCCCTCCCCTCCCCCGCTGTGAGGAAGCGAGCGACTGGGGGAGGGGGTCGGTCTGATGACGGTCCAGGTATTCAGCAAATGCTACCATGGTGGGAACACGCTGTAATTTGGTGGATTGTGCTCGCTGAGGCGTGTGATGCTAGGCGACACCGAATGATTGATGATCAAGTTCGGGGGCTAATTCATAAGACGCGGGCTACTTACATAGAGCAGTAATCATTTCAGACTGAATGGCACGGAGTTGCAAAATGGGAGGCATGACTATTGGGCGCTCTATTTCGTTTAACTGGTATTACAGGTTAAAATAGGACATTTGTAGTTCTATTGAAATCATTGTTAGCAATCATATCACTATCAGTGATGTATTGAATTGGAGGCTGGAGCTACATATATTGAAGTCAGTGTTCAATAATAAACTGGCATGTAACCGAAGCACAACAGTCATTTTGGTTGCTGGTGGCTCGTAGTCTCTGTCTAAGCAAAACATTAGGTTAACAACAGTCGACGATAAGCCATTTTGACCTGGGAGCGGAGGGACGATAACACTATCAAAGACCGACCTGGGGAGGGGATTATGGGTACCCCGGTGAGGAAATCGGGAAAGGGTAGCGTCGGGGCCGCGAGGGGGGGGGTTAACGAGGGCGGGGCCGGATTAGGACCCGTCCCGTTACTCGGCCGATGGGGGTGACAGGGGGACGCCAGATGTGCCCGGTTTGAGGGGGTCGGCAGATAACTCAGTGCGGAGGCGACTTCAGTCGGTGTTGGAGGGTCCTGGTGCGAGGTTCTGCGTGTAGTGAGAGACTAAGCGAGGTTCTGCGTGTTCAGTGAGCGAATACCGATAGCTATGGATTGCTCTGAGGTGCGACAGGGAGGGCAGTTTTCGGCTCAGCAGATGGTAAGTGGAAGCTCAGTTGTGTGCTTTTGCAAACTTCAGTATAATGTAACTTTTCCGTTGCTCAAACACGGTGTCAGCCCGTTCAAGTTCCTGTAAATTCGGTATCCCGAATTATATCTCCGTATGCAAAATAATGTCATTGCTTTTATCCACTGCATTCAATAAATCATCGCTCAGCTTCATAACTTTGTCGTTACAATGTAATTTCTTCTTGCCAACAACCGCCTTTCCATTCCAGGATAACGGAGAGTTCTGCTACGGCATCCCCGCCTGGACAACCGCGTCAGGGTCCATCCCTTCTCATCCGGAGGTCCCCGCGCTCACCCCGAGTGGGGAAACACCAGAGGACGGTACAGAGCCACAGGAGGAGATCTACCCCTGTGAAGAGTGCGGTACCAACGCCACCACCAAATGTAAGCAAAACTTGTCCTATGCTATTTTCGCTATTGAACAGGTAACTCATGTGTGTAACTGATGTCAGATTTTTATCCATTTGTAATTACATTACATATTTGTGGAAATATGATCAACGTTTTGCAAATATGATCAGATTCTATAATGATACATTCCCTGTAGCATATTATATTCACTCAAACGGTGAAAAAATATACATTTCGCTGCAAATATTCAACGATTTTATGTCAATAACAAATTTCAGCAGCAAACTAGTACGGTATTACAAACACTTTTCAGCCAAGTTAGCTCTAGCCTCTAACCTCCCTCCTCTCGCTCCCTCAGGCTGGCACCAGATGAGCTACGAGGAGTGGCTGGTGGACGTGCGACGCGTCGAGGCCCTCCGTCAACAATCCGCCGCCGCCGCCTCCGTGGCAGCCTCCTCTCGCCCCCCGCCTCAGGCGAACTCCCTCGAGATCGTCCTGAGTCACCGCGGTCGGCGCCGGAGACAGCAGTGGCCCCGTCCTGCGCCTCAGAACGCCGTGGCAAAACCTCTGCGCGTGCAGATGTTGAAGGTCCACCTCCGGCAGAAGATGATGCCGGCGATCATGGAGGTTCCAGCCCAGCAGGTGAGAATGGAGCGAACGGTGTGTGTGTGTCAGGGTACTGTTATAGTGTCACTGTCAAGATAATCCTGCTCTTATGGGCTCGTTTTCATAGTAGTGTGAAGTGCCTTTGCGATAGCTGCATACAATTTCAAGTATATCAGAGGGTGTTACAATCTACTATTATAAATCTTAAAAAGTCCGCCGCCCACGCCGCCGCCGTCGGGGTTACTCCCTAAAAGGCTTATTAAGGCGCCGTCGATTGACGCAGGATGGTGAAATTTTCACGACTCGTGGGTCACGTAAATGAACAGGTCGTATTAAATTTTGGGCACGATGCGGCCGGGGGTGCGCCCGTGGCGCGTGCTCATGTGCGCCATAGGGTTAGCATTAGAATCGGCATAAACACTTATTAAACAGGCTATTGCTCGGAAACGGTGAGGGCTACGGGGGTGAAATTTTCACGCCAAGTCTAGCGCGTACACTCATTTGTCGTATTAAATTTTCGAGGGTGTGGGTTCAGCGGTGTGCACGTGATAGGGCCGCGACCGGCGCCGAGCAGAGGGCACGTGCTTTAGGCTCAGTTGTTCGCTTAAAAACTGACTGGAAATAATCAGAGCCGGAAGGTCATTGACCTTTGACAACGAATACCGGCGCCGGGCACCGCTCGCAAAGGGGATTCGCCAGTAAATACAATTAATTTATTTTTGCAATATCTCAGCCGTTTCTGGGCCGATTTAGCTGAAACTTGGACTGTCGGTGGTAGTGTAGTGTAGGGTAGGGTAGGGTAGGGTAGGGTAGGGTAGGGTAGGGTAGGGTAGGGTAGGGGTAGGGTAGGGTAGGGTAGGGTAGGGTGGGGTAGGGTAGGGGTAGGGTAGGGTAGGGTAGGGTAGGGTAGGGTGGGGTACCCAGCAAACATGCCCACATGGGTCCCATATGGGGTGAACATGGGCCAGATGGGCCCACGTGGGACATGGGCTACAGATGGGCTACCCATATGGGCCCCATATGGGATCAAGATGGGCCAAACGCATGTGGGCTGGAGATGGGCATCCCATGTGGGTCCCATATGGGGTGAACATGGGCCAGATGGGCCCACGTGGGACATGGGCTACAGATGGGCTACCCATATGGGTCCCATGTGGGCGCCGCGTGGGTCCCATATGGGGCCTACGTGGGCTGGCCCATATGGGTCCCACGTGTCACCCACTGCCATTCCCATGTGGGACCCATATGGAAGAGGTGGGGGGCCCATGTGGGCCCCATATGGGAACCATGTGGGCATGTTTGCTGGGTAGGGTAGGGTAGGGTAGGGTAGGGTAGGGTAGGGTAGGGTAGGGTAGGGTAGGGTAGGGTAGGGTTGGGTAGGGGATTGTAGGGTAGGGTAGGGTAGGGTAGGGGATTGTAGGGGATTGTAGGGTAGGGTAGGGTAGGGTAGGGTAGAGTTAGGTAGGGTAGAGTTAGGTAGGGTAGGGTAGGGTAGGGTAGGGTAGGGTAGGGTAGGGTAAGGTATAGGGTAGGGTAGGGTAGTGTAAGGGTAGGGTATGGTAGGGTAGGGTAGGGTAGGGTAGGGTAGGGTAGGGTAGGGTAGGGTAGGGTAGGGTAGGGTAGTGTAAGGGTAGGGTAGGGTATGGTAGGGTAGGGTAGGGTAGGTTAGTGTAGGAGTAGGGTAGGGTAGGAGTAGGGTAGGGGTAGGGTAGGGTAGGGTAGGGTAGGGTAGTGTAAGGGTAGGGTAGGGTAGGGTAGGGTAGGGTAGTGTAAGGGTAGGGTAGGGTAGGGTAGGGTAGGGTAGGGTAGTGTAAAGGTAGGGTAGGGTATGGTAGGGTATGGTAGGGTAGGGTATGGTAGGGTAGGGTAGGGTAGGGTAGGGTAGGGTAGGAGTAGGGTAGGGTAGGGTAAGGGTAGGGTAAGGTAGGGTGGGGTAGGGTAGGGTAGGGTAGGAGTAGGGTAGGGTAGGGTAGGGTAGGGTAGGGTAGGTAGGTAGGGTAGGGTAGGGTAGGGTAGGGTAGGGTAGGGTAGGTAGGGTAGGGTAGGGTAGTGGTAAGGTAGGGTGGGGTAGGGTAGTGTAGTGTAGGGGTAGGGTAGGGCAGGGTATGGTAGGGTAGGGTAGGGTAGGGTAGGTAGGGTAGGGTAGGGTAGGGTAGGGTAGTGTAGGGGTAGGGTAGGGTAGGGTAGGGTAGGGTTGCGTTCAGTAACATCTCAACTTACAAAGGGCTCGAAGAACTCGCATGCATCACCATCATACCTTACAGTTCAATTAAAAGCAGTTACCCACTTCTACAAAAATCATACCAATAAAAATGCAAGTTTCTACACCCAAACTAATGCATCCGTTAATCATATATATCAAAACATACAGTTATCGCGTAAACCTGTACCTCTAGTCTACTATTATAAATCTTAAAAAGTCCGCCGCCCACGCCGCCGCCGTCGGGGTTACTCCCAAAAACACTGAAAAAAGTTTTTACCATCAATTTACTAAGTTACTAGCTTTGGTAAATTTTACCATCAGCCTACCATCATATTACTACCAGCCTACTATGGTGCTGAATACTATCCTGCCTTGACATGTTGATATTACCATGGTTACGTTTATCAGGGGTGGTTTTGTACCCCAGTTTACAAGGTGGTAACCACCTGAGGCTAGTAGATACCCTCGTAAGCTAATATTCCCTACCATAGTAAAATCAACCTTTCCACGGGCGGATCCAGCAGGTGAATTCGGCGATCAAGTCTCCTCCTTTCCATAGAGGTGTTTGCCAATTTTTGATATGTTGGAAGGAGCGTCATCCAAGGACTAGCTGAGACCCTGAGCAATTAATAGTTTTATGGACGAAAGGCCAGAAATTTCTTGCAACAGTTCCCTGGGTGTGCTTCTGCTGCTATGGTAAGGTATACCATGGCAACACCATGACAACACTACACCCTTACTAACAATCCACGTGCGTCTGACTCTGCTGCAGCGGCGCCGCCATGTCAGTTCCGGCCGCGCGCCGGCGTTGTGAAGGTGCTCCGTGGTTTTAAATATTTGAACGGTGATTGTGTGGGTGGTTAGCGTAGCTGACGGTGGAGGATACTCGGAAATAACAAGTAAGTCGTTGTATCTTCAGCATAATAATACTTATCTCACGAGTGCCATTTCCAGCAAAGATCGCAGCCTTTGTTTCGGTTCATGTTGTTGAATTTCCTTGAGACCCTGTTGGACCGGGTAGGGGGAGGGTGGTGGGGTGGGTATCATTGCGGGCATTTCCCAGCGTCGGAAATCAACGTGTTTTTTTATTTGTTAACCCACGCCTCACTGGGGTATGTGCTCTAACGCGCCCCACAGCACGTTACAGCACGTTACAGTGGGGGGGGGGGGGGCTCCTAACTCCGAAACTACTGGGCCGATTGTCAAAATTCAAACGGCCCCTGGTAGCCCTGGAAATATTGTTGAGCGAAGCCTAATGTCATTGACCTCGAGGTCATCGATGACGTCACAGGTCAGGTCAAAGTAAAAATATCAGCGTCTTGGCACTCTGGGCGCCGGCCAACAAATCAGATCAGGCTCATTTTTTGTTTGCACACTCGTGAATATATGCGTAACATAACCTGAGGGTACCGAACTTGTACTTCGAATTTTTCAGGTCAAGGCCATCTCATCCCAGGTCACGAAAGCTTTATATCGTGCATCGGTGACGTGAGACATGTTTTATGGTTCATGTAGGCCATATATATCGAAATCAGTGTTGTATGTGTCAGTTTAGGCCATTTTAGCTGAATATAGCTGAGGTCAGGTCAGGTCACTTTAGGTCAAAAATGGTCAAATTTTGAAGTTGACATTTTTCAACAAAAAAGGTGTTTGTCAGATGAAGTTCACATATATTCAACGCATATGTGTTCAAACACATATAGACCCCGTTTCCATGGGCATCACTGATCCAGATCAGCAAACTTAAATCGTATTATATTTCTCGAACTCTTCGTTACATGATATAATTCCAAGTGGATTAGGCTTATATAATCAGTTAATCCCTTATTTTCATTTTCATATATTGTCTAACTATACTGGATTAGCTAATCCATTTTTACTGATCCGGATCAGTGATGCCCATGGAAACGTGGTCATATTCTGCTTTTTTTTCATTCAGAAACGTATATGTAAAAAAATAAAAAATACAATTTCTGAGTTTTTATATTTATAATTTTCAAAATATTCAACATTTCGAAAGTCCGAAATCAGTTTGGTAGCCCTGTAGAGTCCACCCATGCAAAAAAAAGGATCTAGCTTAACCCTCAAGGCGGTGGGGGGGGGGGCATTTTTTGCATCCATCTTTAGTTTTTTTTTTCGATATATCTCCAGAACCGCTGCGCCGATCTTCACCAAACTTTCAGTACCCTTTTGCACATTGTGACCAAATTTTTTTTCCAAAGGCTATGATAAGTTGGCCGCTACGTCGGAGTGACGTCATTTCTGCCATTGTCGACCAAAAAAAAAGCTTCGCGGGAAGAGCTGTCAGGTCTATAAATTTGATTATGCATAAAAATGTTCAAGACATGAAATGTGTAGAATTACCAGGGCTACTATACTGTTCTCTCGATTTTGTTTTTGAAGTTGACCCCAAAAATAAAAAGAAATAGATATAATAGCCAAAAAATCCCAAAAGTTTTTCGATTTTCGAAACAAACGGAATATATGTAATAGCCACTATGGACTTCTATTCACATTCCAAGTATTAGATCGATAACTCCTTTTTGCCAAGTTATAACAAAAAAAAAACTGTTCAAAATTAATGACGTCAAATTTTCAAACTCGATTTTGGCAATTCTAGACCACAAAGCGCAAAACAAAGACCACCATTAGACTCGCCGTGACGAGTGGCATCGAATCAATACCAATTTTATGCGAAACTATCAACTTTGACCTGAAATTTGACCTTTTTGACCTGACATTGACCTGACCTCCACCAGAAAGTGACCAAAAAACCGTCCCTGATGGTCTTATAACCAACACCATTGAGGCGAATATGAAAAATTGGCCATAA